GGGTAACAATGTTTCTATGGTGGGGCTCCTCAACCCTGGCACCAGTGATATTTGGGACCGTATCATTTAAGCATCCCAGGCCTTGTAGGATGTTTAGCAGCATGTAGCATCCCTAGCCTCTAACCACTAGATGCCAGTAGCACCCTCTCCCACTTGTGAAAATAAAAGATATCTTTAGACATCTCAATGGCCTGAGAGGTTGGGAACCACTGTTTTATAGGAAAACAGCTAAAAGTCCCAGCTAGAACATGGATTCCTCTCCCTGCTGCAGCCCAGATGGTTAGGCTGGGTCCCCTCTTCCCCTCACCTCCTGAGGTGCCCCTCCCATGCCAGTTCCAAGTCACTGGTAGAAGCACCTAAGGTGGCAAGTTAGTGCTGGCTGATCAGGTGAGCGTTTCTGGGGATGTGGAGGGGTTGGGGCAGGGGTCCTCTGAGGTGGGATGATGAAAACTGGAAGGAAGGAGAAGGAGCAGAGGCAAATAGGGTTTCCCACCTCCATCTCTCTGACCTCCTGCCATGAGGAGCAGCTGCAGCCCTAAAGGTGGCAGGGCGGGGTCTTCCTTCCCTGGGGGGGAGTATGGTCTCTCCCCTCTCCTCTCTTCTGTGCCCTTCTGGCCAGCAAGGGTGAGGTGAGCAGTGGGGACCAGAAGTACTACAGTGGGAAGGTGGGAAAGCAAAGAGGGAGGGTGGGGAGGTGCACCAAGGGGCACAGGCATCTTTCTGGGTGTCATCTGGATACAGAGCAGGGGACATACTGGCTTGGATTTATCCCCAAAATTTCTTGATGCCATGACCTTGAATAAAGCCCTCCTCCCATTCTGCTTTCTCTTCACCACCTTTTTGACCTGCACTTTCCCACTTAATTCATTAATTTGTTAAATGAATATGACCCAAAGACCTATTGTATGTCTAGCACTGTAGGAGGCACCTAAGGGTGTTTTTACTTGTTTTTAAGTGATTTCTTTTTCAAGGTTAGAGTAAGGAAGATACTAATTAACTAAATAGAAGGCACAATCTAGCTGGAAAACTAACATATGTTCGTGTACACAGCCGTGGAGCCACCCCAACCATATACATAAATGCTGAGGGAAGGTGGAATAAAACACAATTTCTTACAATTTTCAACAAATGGGCTTCATGAACTGATGTTAAAAGGGCAGAAGGAAAATTCAGCCTAAATAAAGGGCACCACCATCCTGCCACATCTCCAGACTGACACAGTTCTCAAAGGGCATGTGGGTCAAAGGGCATGTTCAACTGAAGGCACTCTTTTACCAACTGGAATAAATTTTACCCTTCCTCAATCAAACCGACTGTAAGTTTTCTTCTTGTAATTTGTGGAAATAATCCGTTTCTTTTGTTCCTGTGCAGGGATCTGTGTCTGATACTAGAAATCACCCAAAAGCCACGCCTCTCCATGATGGGCGTGTGCAGACAAGGTCTTCGGGGACAGGGACACACAGTCACAGACTGTCATTCATCCAAAACCTAGCAAAGCCAACAAACTCCTCCTCCAAATTATCCAAAGTTGAACCCCAAGATTGAAGCCAGGTTAGTGCAGTAAACACAGCCTGTTATAGAAGCAAATATTGGTCAAGAAATTGATTAGCTTCAAGAGTCACTCTGAGAGGGCGCTGGGAGAAGTGAGTAATTTATTTAGGGGAAGGTTTGGAAATGGAGGAATGGATAAGCAATTCTTAAGTGCTAAATATGAGCAGCACAAAACACAAAATACCTTAATTCATTGTGGTAGGAAAGGCATTTCTCTTTCTGTCGTAGGATAGGTCAATCTGAGGGACAGGGATCAGATAAAACTCGAGGCTGTCCTGCTGAGCCTGAATGCGCGGTGGCCTGGAGGGACAGGCGGGCAGTCGCTGTCCCAGGTCCCATCATCCATCCCAACCCGGACCAGTCAGAGCCCCGCGCATGGAGTTACCAGAGCGCCAGGCGCCTAGTGGGGTCTCCTAAGGCTTAAAACAGCCCCCACCTGCGGAGTTTCGGGGACAGGAGTCGATGGCTCTCGAATCCGCGCCCCGGAAACCGAGGCGCCGCGGCTGGCTCCGTGCTTCAGCGTCGGAGCGTGGGCGCAAACGCGGTATCCCTCTAGATCCAATAGAGGAAGCTGATTAGGTAAGGCGTGCCCAGAGCCAGGGATGGAGTTTCCCGATCAGCGTAGGAAGAACCATCCCCCGGCCCCAGGGATTCCTCCATTAACAGCCCCCCTCCCCCCACCAGCCTTGCCGACCCCAGAGCCCCGCCAACACATTTCAAAACAGAGTAAAATCGCGGACGCCTATACTACGCTTTGTTCCTCGCACTGCGCTAAACGCGTTTGCCTTCGCCGCTTTCCTTTTCTCCCGACCGACAGGAGATGACTTCTCTGTCCACAGTCCATCCCGGGCAGAGGTAGCTGCGGGCTCCCCGTTCCGAGGGCCGCTCCGACACCCTCGCTCTGTCTGGAACCAGAATCTCCTGTCCAGCTCAATGGAAGAGGGAGGAAGCAGAGAAGATGCTCGAATTGATCCGTGAACCTCTAGGCAACGCGCCCGTGCTGGGCCCAGCTCTGCAGGGAGGTTCCGACCCCTAAGCCACAAGAAGGTTCGGCCTGACCGTGGGTGGACTCTTGATCGCCAGCCGAGCTATTCCCCGCAAATTCAGCCCAATCTGCGCGGCTCGAGAGGATGATTCCGCCCCTAAAATGATCCCTCTCAGAACTGCGCCCCCGCACCAATTTCCAGCGATAGAATGAACAAGAAAGCTGCCAGGACCCGGCTAATCGAAGGAGGGCGAGGCTCGGATTTGTTTGCCAGGGTCCGTACCCGCCTCCCTATCTTCCCACCTTCCCCCGGTTTGAAGGGCGGCGGCGAACTCGGGCTGTTAAAGTGAAAATCCCGCATGTTTCTAAAATAATATTCGGCTATAATAATAAAAACACATGAGAGACGCCTATCTGGGTGGCTGCGGACGCCGGAGGCCAATTAGGAAGAGCCACGGGTTTAGGGTTGGGGGAGTCTCACTCCAGCGTCCTCCAGGAGTCTGAGGGGCCGCAGCTACCCCTACCCCAGGGTTCTCCATCTCTGTTGGGAAGGGGTGGGGCAACGCCCCAAGGTCCATTCCTGGGGCGCGTGTGGTCTCCATGACAACGTCCCCTCTGCGCCCCCGCTCTCAGTCAGCCTGATAAAATGGGTGTGGCCTGCAGCACCCGAGGAAACCTCATGCCCCTTCCTCACATTCTCCCTCCTGGCGAAGCAACAGGGCGTGAAGCGAAGAGGGCCCCCACCTGCGAACTCTCGTCGGGGGTCTCCGGTGCCCCCTTGGTGGGCAGCCTGGTGGGGTGTGGCCCCCGGGACGCTCCGGGTGTAGGGAGGGGCATCGTCCCTCTACGGCCACCCGCCCGCACCTCACGCAGAGACCTCGAATCCCACCCCTTCGGCCCCACGGACGCTTTCTGGCGCGCGGCCCGGCTCTGGGAGGGGGCGGCGCATGGTCACGCCCGTTGCAATCGTGCACCCGGGGCTGACTCGAGTTCCTCTACCCTGGCAAGCCCCGAGGCTAACAAAGGGCTCAAAAATGAGGGGCAAAAAGCGGGGAAAGGGGCGGGAGCCTTGGGTAAACACCCTCATAGAATGAAAGCCAAAACCCGGGGCTGGTAACACAGATCACGTAAGCACTACAAACAAAGCAACGAGCCCCAGAGGAAGATCCCGGGTGAAAGCCCCCAGTGCTCGAACCCACAGCAGCAAAACGCCAAGATTTCAGCGCTAACTGCCCCCCCCCCCCCTAATAACAGTCCCGCCCTGTCCTCCGAAGCTCAACCACCTGGCTTGGCATGGTACTGTAAAGACGTGACACGCCGCAAAAAGATGGCACCTCGCGTTCGGAGGGGAAAAAAGCAGGGGTGGAAGTGGGAGGAGGCACAGCCTACCCTCCCCCTCCTCACCCACCCGGGTCCACACCCACTGCCGCAGTGAGGGGCGAGCCCTGCGCGCCAGCCCTGCGCCTCCGGCAGAGAGCGCACACGCCGGACGCCGGCGCAGAGCGCAGAGAAAGGGGCCCGCCCAAAAATGCACCTGCAGCCCCCTCGCCGGTCTGTCCTGGGCTGCGGCTGTGCGCGCCCTCGAGCCCGGATCGGCAGCTGCCGTGTCTTTCCACATCGCAAGGCCAGGTGACCCCTGCCTTTCCGAACCTCCACACTGGGATCTGTGCACCACCTTCTCTCGGGCACGGCGCTGCTCGCGTCTCGGTGCCAGGCGCGCGCAGGGGGAAGGGCAACTAAAGTGACAGCGCCAGGACCCCTCCCCATCTCCCTGATTCCACTCCCAGCCCCCAAATGTCCCCTGCGGGTTTCTGAAGGAGGAAAACGAGGAGGCGGTGGCCACCGCCTTAAATAAGGAGCAGCGAAAGCCCCTTATTTCGATATGGAATATCTGCCAGAGAGCTGTAGGGAGGGGCAGGCAGGGAGTCATCTTTTCTAGAACCCGATCGATACCTTCCTTAGAGCTGATGGCAAACGGAGGCAAAGAAATCAGATGACAGATTCGGTTTCGGTGGTCGTCACTGGACCACCCCCCTCCGACACACACACATACAGAGTCTACACGCCCATTGCGGCAAAAGACGGTGTTCGAGAGTGCATAGCAGCACCCTCCCCCAGGTCACCGCCATCCCGAGCCCCACCCTGTGGGCACAACCTCTGCCCAGGTCTGCCCGAAGCAGATCGTATCGACCATCCCAGGACACACACACACACACACACACACACACACACACACACAGCCCTTGCGCGCACGCACACACACACACACACACACAGCCCTTGCATGGTTCCCTTTCCAACCCGCCCTAGTTCCAGACCTGGAGCGTAGACCGCGCAAAGAGGGGACCCCGCCGTTGCCCCCGACCAATGCCCACTTCATGAAACCCATCTCTGGGGCAAGGGGCGGCGGCATGGAGGTGCAAAGGGGCGGACAAGGAGACAGATTTCGGAGCCTCCCACTTACCTGATAGTCGACAGAGGGCGAGGACAGTAGAGGAAAGCAGAGGAGAAAGTGGCTGTGGTGGCGGCGGCTGAAGGTGGGCGGCGGCGGCGGCGGCGCTGCTACTGGTGCGGGAGCTGGTGGGTGGCGGAGACTGCGAGCGCGCGCACCAGCAAGAGGGCGCGCTCCCGAGGCCGGCGGGCAGCGCAGGCGCGAGCGGCGGGAGCGCGAGCCTCCCCAGGGGAGGGGAGGGCAGTGAGGCCTTCTCAGGCGTCTTCACCTCCGGCCACCAGTGGGCGCAGGCGAGCGCCTCACCAATCGGCCCTTCCCAGCCTTCTGGCTCTCTCCTCTCGGCGCTTCGCTTCCCGGGTCCCCCTCTCCTCCCACGCCTTGGGCCGCGGCGCTGACCGCCACGCGCACGCGCGCGCCTTGGCGCACGCGTACTCTGGGTCTCCTCTCGCGGCTGGCGCCTTTGTCTTGTCGGAGGGGTCTCCTCCCTTGGGAGAGAGGTTGGGTTGCCTTTGGAGTCGAAAAGAGGCTGGGTTCTCCGGTACCGAAACTGCTGCCCCTTTTTTTCCTGTCGCCCTGCGGTGGATGGCCTATCTCAGAAGGGTTCTGGGCGGGTTTCCACGTGGTCAGCTCTCTTGTCAATCCACCCTGGATTTGAAGACCTCCTCCAGGCTCGTCCTGCTTAGCGCTGGCCCGGCACTGTGACCCTCCAATGAATTTCCCAAAATGATTTCCCTTGTTGGAGATCTGTTTCCCTGGGTCGGCTTCCTTTCACCCGGCTTTCTTTCCACCTTTTTTGTTATTGATCAAGGTGAATTTTTCCTTTAGCAAATCTACTTAAAACAGGTTAACTCAGTTGTAATACAGTAGTGCAGGTTTGGTTTTGTTTTATTTTGGTTTTGGGTTTAGGGGTTTTGTTTGGTTTGTTTAACAAGGAGCATTTGAATCTATTGTTTATGTAATTGTGACCCAAGAATAAAATAATAAATTAGATGGAGGTTCAAATGACACATTACAGAGCACTGTCACATATACAGTTATTTTTACCTCGTTTGTTGAAACACTTATACTGTAAATAGCTTGAAATCTGAATTTCTAAGTCCCTCGTGGAGGTTCTTACCTGGGTAACACGCCTCAGACTGGAGCTGATTAGAGACTCATTCACCCAACCTACAGGGTTTGTCCTTAGCTTGGTCTCCCCAACATCTGATTAAAGTCCTGGCAGTGGGAGGCTTCAAGTGTTTGAGGGCTTGGGGACAGCCATCTTGTCCTAGGAGGATAGGAGTTTGTCTGAAAACTTTAATTTGTGTAGCTCTTATATTCTTTTTTAAAAAACAGCAATATGGTATGTTATAGATGAATAAAAAAAAGCAAGTAATTAAAACATGGATTTAATTAATGTATTATTGGGAGCACTGAGTGGATGATGGAGATGAGGGCCAATTTCTTGAGTCTAGAAGAGATCTGATTTTTGTTCCAACTGCCACCACCCTAAAGACCCTTACCTTGGTTCTGGATATGTAGTGACTTAACTGGTCTCCCTTCTCTGTTTCTTTCTGTATCAGCCCGCCCTGCCTAAAGGCTTCTGAGTGCTCCCTAAGTTGAATTAAACTCCTTAGCCTTAAACTCCTCTTCATCTTCTCCCCTATCATCGGATGCTCTGTCCTCTTCAGTTTTCTCTCTCATCTACTCTGTGGCCTCTTCAGTTTTCTCTCTCATCTACTCTGTGGCTTGTTTGACTGCTCTTGCTCTACTCTGGGGTTTCCCCTTTGCCTACAAAATCCTTTCTCTTTATCCACCTACCAATATCCTACCTAACTTTAAAACTCTATCTTAAATTTTACCAAAGCCTCCCCTAATCATTCCAATGGAAGGGATAGTTCTGCCCTCTAGAAGGAACTTAGCAAAGTTACTCATCTCCTCTCAGAAAGTGGAGAGGGGTGTGGAGATAGTATCAGTCTTACAGGACTGAAGTTTTATTCTTGTCCCCAGTTGTCTTCTTTCCCCCTTTTCCTGTATGGGGATCATATGTCCTTGCCTATTACCTTGTGATCTGTTCTGCCCCACTCTACTCTCCTAATGATATTTGCCCTGGCTGTGTGATGGTCTCTGGCTTCTAGAACTAAATGGATGTCAAGTAGTTGTGTCCATGAAGAGCTTTAAGGGACAACATGAGTTTCTACCACTTTTTTTCTTCCCCTCCCCCACCAGAATGGCATGCTCCTATGGGACTGTTCCTTCAGCCTGGATCCCAGGATGAAAAAACACAAGGAAGTACATGTAACATGAGCAAGAAATGGACAGTCATTGTGTGCATCACTGAGATTTGGGGACTTGTCACCACAGCAAAGCTGACTAACACAGGGATTAAATGAAAACTTATAAATATATATTTATAATAATTTATATATGTATATAATATATAATGTATTTATAATATATAATATATCTATAATAACATATATTTATAAATTCTCATTTAATCCATATATATGGATTAAATATATGTATGTGTATATGTATATATATTTGAATTTTTAACAACACGGGTTTCAGGTGCCAACCCTCACTCATTCAAAAATCTTCACATATAACGGTAT